AATTACAGTTATGAAGTAGCAAAGAAAATAATTTTATGGTTGGGGGTCAGAACAGAGTGAGGAACATTGAGAGCCACTGTTCTAGATGTGTTTTTCAGAATGTGTTACTAAAGACGTTTTTTTCAGAATGTGTTACTACTAGAACACAAAGGAGTTCTTTGGTCAACCACTGTGTTATTGAGCAGAACATTTGTGTTGCTTCCCCTGCCTGGTAAATTATACATGATATTAAAATGATGCCAGGCCTTTTGTGTGAGGTCCATTAGTTCTGGTAAGCTTTCTACTCCACTGAAGATGAAGGGATGAAGGCGTGAGCGTTAAAATGTTTACCTGCGGGGGCCACAGATGTTCCTTTTCAGGAGGACACTCAACTAGGACCACAAAAGTTGAAGGTGATATTCAGAAGTACAACAAAGAGAATCCACACATATTGTTTTAAGTTTTTTTATTTGCTTATAAAAAAAAGAATAAAAACAAGTCTTCAAAAACACATCTGCATTTACAAAGCAATCCCTGTAGTCAAGGGGAGGCAGGCCCTGAAACACACTGCTGGACAAATTACATATTCATTTAAAAATGGGTCTCTTTTGCATTGGAGCTGGTAGGAAGTCATTATTTTACATGGGCCAAAAACTACTGGGAAGCAGAATCTATTTCTTTAGTTATCAAATCCAGAAAGGCTATAATCTAGCTCTTATTTCTGAATTCCTGTGAACCCAGTTACTGAGTGATCTAAGAACTGGACAGACCAATTTAAACAAAAAGAGGTAGTTTCCTCAGCAATGGTGGTATTTTAATTATCAGCAAGGTCATTGCCATGGGTATGGGAAAGTGACATAATCCATGACTCTCCAAACGCGCTTTTCCACCGCTACTGGGCCCCAATTCCCTCCAATGTAAGCACGCCTCTCATTTATTTTATAAACTGAAATGATCTAACAGAGAAGAGATTCTGGGGTTCAAAGTAACCTTTTTAGTTCCTCTCTCAGCACTCTTCTTTAGAAGAAGACCAAAGTATCTGGCATGCAATTCAAACAGCAAAGGGACAAGATTTCAGCGGTGTCACAAAAGGGGATGATTTAAAATAGAGTTTTTTTTTAAAAAAAACAATAATTAATGCTAACCATAGAGGAAATATCGGCTGATGACATGGGCCCTGCCTCCCCCTGCAAAGTAACATACAGACCACGTGACAACATTTTGTAAGTAAAGCTCCAGAAGAGGGCTGCCACTGCTCCTCACATGTCCTGAGGTCATCAGATGCTCGAGCCCCACAGATCCATAGCTTCCTGCTCGTCCTGGACGGGTGTGAACTCAGGCTGATCCGGATGGGACACTAAAGAGGAAAAGTGGGGGTGGGGGACTGATGGGACCCAGGAACCATAAATGGACAATCTCCCCTCTCCAAGTCCTTAGAGACACAGATTTGGCCAGTAAACCACAGAGGTGCCCTGTGGGAGGAGAGAAGCCCGCTATGCCTGCTATGAGGGGCTTCATAGTAAAAAGAGGAATGGAAAGACAAACTGGGGGAAAAGTGTTAGAAAACTAGAATTGTGGCCAATTGCTTAAATATTGCATGTTTTATTTACAAAGGAAACCCTGAAATCGTAGGGAGAATCGTAAAAGAAAATGTAAAATTAAGAACCCAATCTTGTGTTACAAGTCCATCACCGTGGGAGAGTGGGAAGAGGGCGACCAAGGGAAGAAGGCAAAGCCAGGAGGGAAGGTGCTCATCTTTATGGGACAGGAAAGAGACATACAGTAAAGTAACGGTTACAGAGCCTTAGCGTAGAGGAGGTTGGGAGGAAGTCTTGCTGCACAGTCACAGAGCTCCATTCAGGTTGACTCGGGAAGTTAGTGTCCATTACAGCTGACCTATATGGCTTTGTTACGTTCTGATGGTATCACTCCATCGTGTTTGGAGCAGGGCAAGCAGGGGACTTGAACATGGTGACATGGGGAAGGAATGGAGGCAAGAAAGAGGTGACTATGGTTACAGGCAGGAGCTTAGTAGTGGTGGTGAACCAGTTGTTCTGTAGCCATAGCCAAATGCCCAGGCCGACCAGTGCAAGACTGGCATTTCAGTGCTGGTAATCATTGTACGGGATGAGATCTTAAGGGACAGGGGACAGATTTGAGAGGGCAAGGAGGGAAAAGATGAACAGAGAAAAATACATCAACATAACTTCGACCAATTTCTCAGGCAACTAAGGTTAAATTTCTCTTATAGCAGAAAAAAAGTCCATTCACTGACTAATCTGTGCACTGACCAAAAGCTGTCTCTTCATGATTTAAAAAGGCCCTGGTGTGAGCAGGAAGGCTGTCGTCATTTGTGGGAATCTTCATCTCTCTGATTCTGGGTCTAGCCCTTAGTGATGAAGCAACGACAACGTGGCTACTTTTATTCTTACGATCTTCCTTGTCAGGTGATGGGCAGGATGTCCTCTAAAAGAATCGGGGTGGGGGCTTGCTAATTATGGGGAAGGTCTAAATCTAAGAATGGAATTTCACAGGATGTCATGGCCACACGGAGCAGCACGGAGGATACTAACATGTTCAAACATATTTGACAAATAACTCAAGAAGAGGCCTAGTGTATGTGGGTTACCATTTAGCAAATACTCTACCACTCTGCTATATCCTCAACCCAGGGGTTAATATTTAGGAGCAAAGGAAACTTGGATATGGTGTTATTTGAGTCTCCCTCTAGGGGATTTAAGTAGACTAAACAGTAAATTTCATTTTCCAGAAGATAATGTAAGGGTATGAGGAGTCCAGGCTCTGCTGTCCTCTCTTAACTGTTGATTTTCAACCCCTCCACAGGTTAGTAGTAACCACTGTATAATTCTGCAAAGCCCACAAGAGGCTGGACTTACCTCCAACACCGTAGGCAGAACATGACGAGGGGTCGCAATATCCAGGCTGCCCAGAAGGACCTTGTGGTCCAGGAACTCCCAGATGGCCTGGGGGACCTCTTGGTCCAGGAGAGCCAGGTGGCCCAGGACTGCCAGGACGACTTTCCCCTGAAGGTCCTATTGAAGCAGCCAAAGATGAAGAGTTTGTCATTTACAACAACAGTCAGTTTTGAGACCACCATGAAGTAAATTAACTCTAAAAGATGCAACAATTAGGGGATTGAGCTGTTCTACTCATTGAGCTGTTCTTTGTCCGAAAGCTGAGTCCCTGAGCAAAGGCTCATACCATAGTCGCATATTCTCCTCAAAGACAGTGCTTACAATCAGCTGCAGAGTTAGGGAATGCACTATATTCTTCTCTATGTCCTCTTGGGCATTAAAGAGAAAGGAGTAGGCCATTCTCAAAAAACTTCATTTTCTCAATGGAGCTCTTGTTTGCCAATACAGCTCCTCCTGAATCCAATGTGTGGGCATGCACAGATGCACTCATACATAAATACATTCAAATCACAGTCTCACAAAGCTGAAATTGCTGTGTAAATTAGTACTGGCTTGATGGGGAATGTACTGGGTATGTTCATCTTATTGATTATTGAATAAA